CCCCCCCCCCCCCCCCCCAAAAAAAAAAGGTAAAAAAAAAAAGAAGAGAGAGAGAAAGACAAGACTCTCTGTTAGATAGTTCCGACAACTTTAAGTAAAGTCCTCCATGTGAGAAAAAGATCGTTGAAAGGAAAAGGAAAGGGCTTTAAAATAAAAAAGAAATAAATGAGGAAGAAAGCTAAGCTGATAATCTCCATTTTTTAAAACTTGAGTGCATCATTTCTTCACCATGAAGGTCCTGTAGCACTGAACATTCCACTCCAATAAGCATTAGCGCTCGAATTGACTTGACTCTTCTGCTGATGATCATCATTATCACCAACTTCTTGTGTTGTGGTGCTCGAGAGCTCTTTCATCTCCGAAAATGGAAACAAAACCCTACCTGATCCATTTATATCCTCATTAGTTTCATGAGACCTGGTGTTACCGTTGTTGTTGTTGTGTCCGATATTTCCGGCAAAAGAGAGATTACTTGGCTTGTAATCCGCAATTGTCGGAAACCCTGATGAAGAGTAAAGAACTGTGTTTGAATCGATCATGGGACCAGGAATGAACGTGTTGAAACCTCTTGAAGAAACCCCAGTTCTCAGAAACTCGAGAGCTGAAACAGGAGACGAAGACACATACAAAGAAGATAAAGAACCGTTAGGGTTTGGTTGAGTAATGCTGTTCTCGATCTTGGGCATCTGAAGAAACTGAGACATGTTCTGATGATGATGACCGTCTTGCATGACAGGGAAAGACAACAAGTTGAGATCTTGAGATGACCCTTTTTGTTGCTGCGTCGACGTTGACTTAGGGTTCTGTCCTGAGAAGAGAACCGGTGGGTTTAGATCTGGTAACTTGGTGGTCATACCAAGCGAAGACGAAGAGGAAAGCGCCGACGTTGCTGACGTGGACGACGTCGGGAAGATTGCCGAGGAGGACCTCTTGTTCTTCCTCGAGCTTCCTCCAACAGGGACGTTACGAAGAGAGCCACCTTCGGTCCAATACCTTCGACAGCCTCGGCAGAAGTACCTTGGTTGTGTGAGACTATAGTTATTGTAGTAACAAAACTTGGTGTTTGTTGAGTTACATCTCGGGCAGTTCAGTTTCTCTTGCGGCCTTGCTTTTTTCTCAGCCGCCGTGGTGGCGGCGGCTGCGTTTGCGTTTGCGTTTCCACCGCAGCCGCCTGGGCCGGTGTTAGCTATACTGTTGACGAGGACGGTGCTTGTGCCTGTGGTGCACGTCGGTTGTGCGATGTTATTATGAATAATGTGCTCCATGGGTTTTACGTTTATCATTTCTTGAAAACCCTACAAATCAATTAAGATGATTTAACTTAATTAAGATATTAAAAAACCCATATGTACAAATCCACTCGTGGACTAGTCAAAGCAAACTCATGAAATGGAATTCAGCTAGCTTATTCATACATGGACCAATCAATTCTCCAAGATCTAAGCAAACTACGTCTATACACACGTACACACACATATATATATGTGTTTTGTATCAAACCCCATGTAGATTGCACATGATAGAAAAAAGAAGCATGTGACAAAAAAGAAGACGGATTAGGGTTTTCTTTTTTTGGTTTCCGTCAAGAATTTTAGGATCCGGTGAAAGAAAACTCGAAATAGGAGAAGAAACAAAAACTAAATGGGGTGCTACATGAACACCAAGAACAAAGGGTATAATACCAAATAATGCCTTTGTTTTTCTAACTTTCTTTTTTCATTCGTTCCAATATATAATTAATCTCATAAAAAGCGGGGGGAAAGTGTCTATCTAATCTCTTTCTTCCATGAAAACTTTCAAAAAGGATAAATTTTCCCATGCAAATATTCATGGAAACATGTGTAAGCAGGCCTGCATATATATATATATATATATATATATATATATATATCTACCATCACAACTTAGCTTGCTTCATGTATATCCATATATCCATCTCTATCCACGACCCAAAAAACAAATATACGCTTATATATAAATACATAATCTTTTTTTTTTTGGTCATAGAAAAAGTTACAGATGAAAAAGAGAAAGAGAGAGATAAAAATAAAGGAAAACAGTTGGGAAGAAGAAACAAACAGATCCGGCAAAACGAAGCTCTTTTACGCACCTGCGTCCACTTCGTAGCGTCCATGAATTCCGACAAAGAGAAAGCCGCAGAGAGAGAGAGAGAGAGAGAGAGAGAGAGAGAGAGTAAAGGCAAAGAGAGAATGTTTTTGGAGACAATTTTTTTTTCCTGGGCGATGGCTCTATATGCGTTGGCTTTCACTTTATGGATGATGAGGAAAAGCAAACGAAGAAGAAGAGGAGAGACCATCACCTAAAAAAAAACATTTTATTTAAAATGATTATTATTGAAAAAAACACACAAAAGCAAAAGCAGGGTTCGTTGTTTTTGACCAGTGATAATGTCTCATGACTCTGTACGTTCTTTCTGGTCCCTTAAATATTTTCCCAAGGAAAAAAAAATGTGTGTAAGGAATGAATTTGTATGCTTTTATTTTAAAATATTGTTATCACTGTATGCGTATTGATTATAATAGACATGAGGTGAGTGGAAATATGAGTTGTATGCTATTCTTGGCCTCCCGCTTCTTCATTGGACATTATTTCTTGGCATATGATCCGTCAAATCTCCCTGTGAATTTTATATTCTTATTTTTTTAATATTTAATTATATTGATAATTTGACGATCTTCATTATCTTTCCTAGATCTTAATTCAGCATTCCCGAGTTATTCAGCTGCGTTTTTCACTTGGAGTTTATGTGATCTTCATCATCTTTCCTAGATCTTAACAATTCCTATATTTTTTGAACGAATTTATTGAAATAACAGTTTAGTATGATATCACAAATCGGTGGTATATTTAAGTAACGCTATTGGGATATTCATACACAACTGAAAACATCGTGGACCGGCTATTCGCTATATATATGTGTATATATGGATATAAACATGTATATATTCATTTATAATTAACTAGTGTGTTACTGTGAATTGGTGTATATATATATATGTATATATACTTTACAAAACACTTTTTGAGTCCTAGCTAATATTTGGATGAAAAAAATAGAAGGGCCGGGGATAATTTCATCCCTTTGTCGTTTCATTCGGGCTCTTATACTTTCCCTAAAAGGACCATTACATCACACATGCCTAAAGTTATTATGATTGGATTTAAATTGGTAAAGCTATAACGGATGTCACGTTAATCAGACCATTATTAAAGCCGACTATTTTTTTTAAAAAAAGAAACGATAATATCTGGACAACGAATCGAGGGCAGCTATAACCAGAGACATTTTTTTTTTTCAGAAAAAAATACTGCACGAGTTTAATTAACAAAACCAATCGATTCATCAATAATTTGTTTTAATAATTCATCATAATTGTATAATATCAAATCACGTGTTGTGTCCATCCGAACATATACCAATGCCACATAGCATGCACAGTAATAATTGATTAAGTTATACCAATTTCAATCCGTATATGCGTAAAAACTATATATTACTAAAAGTGAATTTATTTTCCGTTATATATATATATATTTAAAAATGATAAAATTGTCGTATCAAAGGCTAAATGTTAGTTTGTAATGTTCGAGGACTAGCTTTTATAACCAAAATCGCAAAATATTTAAGTTATATGACTGTAACTATATAAATTTATTGTGCATAAATGTGAATTGGGTACATGAAAGTATGTTTTTTTTGATAAAGTACATGAAAGTATGTGTTGAGAGGTTTAAATATAATATTTAATTAATATCGATTATAAATTCACTTAATCTGAAACTTAACTACAGATTGATAACTAATAAAGAAGATGATAATTTTAATAAAAATGAAAATTGGCCGAGAAAAAGAGAAAAATATACTTGACACTGTTAGCAGTCGTCATATTAGGAGGTGATTAGTTTTAGAGCCTAATTAAGGGGAGAGGAGATTTGAAAATAGTGAGAGAGAGGGAAGAGAGAGAGGACAGAGGGGCCGACAGGAAGAGACAAAAAGGAGGGCAGGTGGGTCCCACGGTAGGCGTGATTGAGATTTTGCATTGTTTCGGTCTCTGATCTTTCTCGATATTGACACCTGTCCTTCTCCTTCCCGAAGGCCATTCCCAAATCTTATTCCTCAGTGACAACTGGAGTGTCGTTTCGTTGTCCTAGCTTCACCTTGCTCGCCGTTTTCGTCCATCAACTTATTGTCCGACACGTGTCGGTCAAGATTTTATTCGGCCCACTGTTTTTTTAATTTACCCGGCTCATCCGCAATTAAAGGTCTTATAGAGAATGTATAATAAATTTGGCCCAACTACGTTAATGGGCCCATGATTTATTATTGGGCCTTGTGATTATGTTCCACTAAGCCTAAAAGGCCGTATGAGGAATTTGCTCTCCATACTTACAATTAATGGAAAAAAGGCCTTTCGCTAATTTTTTCGATGGATCCCAAAAGATCAAAATCCATGGTAAAAGTCTCAAGGCAAACGCATATGATAAGGCCCAACTTATCCAGAGCCCAAGTAGCACACCATTAAATGGCTAGGCCCAATTGGTCCAAAGCCCAATATGAGGACCATTCAAATTGCAAGACCCAATGAGTTCTCAGCCCAAGGCATCCTTCATTTGAAACCTTTAACCCAGGAAGAGGGTTCTTTTTCGGGGAACAACATATCCGAGATTTGATTGTCTAGTGAGCATTTTGTATGTCAAGTTTGGGTTTCCGTTGAAGTAAAAGCTATTGTGAAAATGGCGGAGATGAGTTACGGCGCGATCTCCACCGTCGATCCGATCGATCATCTCCCACTCCGTCTCCTGAGATCCGAGATCGTTCCGCCCTCCCCGATCAGATCTCAATCTTCCATTGACTGCCTCCCGGACTTCGCCGGTTACTCATGGCTTGCCTATGGAGCTTCCACTCTCCTCGTCATCTCTCACTTGCCTTCCCCTCTCCGCGGCGACGACTCCCTCTCCGGACCCATTTTCCGGCAGGTTCTTGAGGTTTCCGGTGATGTCTCCTCTTCTGTTACTTCCGTTTCTTGGTCCCCCGTCACGCCGTCTGTCGGCGAGCTCGCGGTTGGGTCGGGGAACTCCGTCTTTCTGTTCTCTCATGATCCGATCGAGTTGAACGGTGAGCCTGGGACTAAATTTGATGTTTCATTTTGAGTTCAGTTAGTGAGGAATTTGTTCAAGGGGTGCCCGTTGCTGTTGTCTTTGTGCCATTTTGGAGGTTTATCACGTTGAATTGAATTAGCTCTGGGACCAAGAATTTAGAGTCGTCATACAGTAGCTAGTCGGAATTGTTCATTGCCTGTTCAGTTAGACTGATGGCCTGCAAAAACATCGGGTGTGTATTTGTAGTTCCAATTCATTGTCTGGATTGTGATGATTTTGGGTTGATAGAGAAGGCTTATCCATCTTCAGGGCATAATCAAGCATAATACCGGTACTGATTTATTACAATTTGATCACGTTGTAATTTTTCTTATCACCAATGCAAGCGAGGTATATGAATGAACAATAGGAAGGGAAAAAACATACTTAAGTACCTTATCCCTCTAGGTGTTTACAATTGGAGAACTGGTGGTAGCATGGGATTCTTTCTTCTTCCTTCTTTGTTTGGATATCTTAAATTTGTATGTCTTTTACTCATATTCAGGTTCTTTTTGTTGGAGCCAGAATGCCATATTGGCGCAGGCAACAAAAGTGGAAGCAATTGAGTGGACAGGCTCTGGGGATGGGATAATAATTGGTGGAACTGAGATTGTTGTGTGGAAGAGGAGGAACCGATCATGGGAAATTGCTTGGAAATTCGTAGGGGATCACCTTCAAGATCTGGTTTCCGCCACCTGGTCGATGGAAGGACCTTTTGCAACGGCAACTTCTTGGAGTAAACTGCAAACTGATTGTGATGAAGCAGGTAAATGTGTCTTGGCCTATTTTAGTGATGGGAAATCATATCGTAAAGTTGCACTGCGTCATCCACAGAGGATATCGATGATTCAATGGAGACCAATGGCATCAAGACAGTCTGCTATTGATGTTAATCATGCACTGAGGAATGTGCTACTGACATGTTGTTTGGACGGGACAGTAAGGCTATGGAGTGAAATAGATGACGGGAGGACTAGAAAGGGTGGGAAGGATGTAAATGACTACAGAACATCGTTTTATGTTGCAGCAGTAATTGAGATAAACCAGGTCTTGAATGGCAATTTGGGAAGAGATATATTCATGGTTTGGGGAACACAGACAGGAGGTATATTTAAAACCTTGGAAGGTACCAATAAATTTTTTTCTATGGAAAAATATGAGCTTGAGCAAGTTGGAAAATGTGCATGGCTAGTTGGTTATGGCCCTGGACAATTGGTCACCCTATGGGCTGTCCATTGTCTTGATGACATCTCTCCTATGAGGTTGCCACGGGTTACATTGTGGATGAGACAAGAATTACAAGGCAGTGGTGTAGAACCACTTACAGTAGTTGATGCTGATGGGTCTTCAGATCAGATGTCTCTTAGGAAGGTTGTTGTATTGAGAAATCACCTGTATGATCCACCACTTATTTGTTCTTTGATTAATTTATCCCCTCGGAATTCCTTATTTTGGTCTTCCTTGTATACGGAAAATTTGCATGACGCAGAAGTTTCATCTCCAAATAGATTGAGTTCGTCAAAGTGCGTGGCTCAAAAAGTTCTTGGTCTAGATGGTCATAGCGGGAAAATCTTACAGGTTGCTTTCCATCCTATTGTCTGCGAGACTGAGTTTGCTGCTTCTCTGGATGTCAATGGCCTGGTGATAATCTGGTCTTCTTCTGGTAATTCCCATTGTGTTCCTGACCATTCAATACCAGGTTTCTCTTGGAGATCATGTGTACGGCTGCAAAACCAAAATTTGAGCTTAAAATACACAAGTATATGCTGGGCGGCCACATCACTGGGAGAGGATAAGGTTCTACTCGCGGGACATGTTGGAGGCATTGATTGCTTTATTGTAAGGAGTCGTGGGAGGGTTGAAGATGATTTTCTTAGCCATTACATATGCACTATACCTTTTGCAGTTACCAGCCCTTTGGAGGATGGTCCTACCAATATATTCGCAATACCTTTGCCAAATTCTTGTGGCAAGACATTCAGAAGTAACAAGTTTTTTCTTTTGAGCGTATGGCTGAAAGAGAAACATTTTGATGCTCTGTCATGGAGAGTTACTTTCCATCATTTTGATTCCCCAGGAAGCAGCTGCATGTGCAATTTTCATGACTGTAATAGCATTAGATCTGGTAAGTGGACGTTTGAAGATAGCATTGCTGGTAAAACTATCTGCATTGCTGTTAGTTCATCCTCATCAGAAATACCTGAACCTCACCGGCATGATTATGTTACCAGTTTTGATGTGGTCTCTCCAAGCTGGTTGGCTCCAAAAAATGACGTAAACTGCAAAAATCCTTTGTATACCCTGGCAACTGGTCAAGCTGATGGTTCTTTGAAACTTTGGAGAAGTAGTCTTCAGGATTCTATACCTCATACTCCGTGGGAGCTTGTAGGCATGCTTACGGTTGGCCAAAGTCCTGTTGCTGCTATATCACTATCTGATTCTGGTCACAAAATAGCAGTTCGGTGTGCAGAGGATTGTTCAAAATCTGCAATTACTATATGGGCGATTGTACACCTTATAGATTCAGGGGTTTTCATGCTGGAGGAGAAATTTTATGTAGATGCAGAAGTTGTTGCTCTAAAGTGGTCAGCAGTGGGAAATGATCACCTATTTCTCGGAGTCTGCACACGGAATGAGATCCGGGTCTATGTTGAATGGCCTTATAGAAGAACTACTTTATCGGTCTCCGAGGGTTCTTCAGAAAAACAGATTTGGCAATGCGTTGCTGTTTCTGAGACATATTCTGCTATTCTTGATTTCGTATGGGGCCCTAAGGCCATGGTTGTACTTCTTCACGCTGATTATATTAGTCTACACAGGCAATGGCTGGTTCAAACTCCAACAAGCTTTAACGTAAATGATGATAAAAAATCCAGTGGTTTGCCTTTAACTAGTGCACCATCTGGCTCAGACATGCTTAGTGACATATCAAGCTTGTTGGAGATGGTGGAGAGGTTACAGGGTTCTTTGCCACTTTATCACCCTCAAGCACTCCTTGCAGCTATATATTCAGGTGCTATGCTACAAGCTTCTTTTTGTTATTTTTTTCTAGTCATTTTCAAAGCTAAGCCTCATAGCTTTTATTTAGTTATCCCTTTTATTTTTCCCTTGTGCAAAATAAATAGTTGTGTCATGTGGTCAATCTCACCTTTCCTTAAGCTTGTTAACTCTATGCGTTCAGGCAATTGGAAGCGGGCGATTGCAGCTGTAAGGCATCTCATTGAAAATATTACTTCAAATGTCACCTCTGGGAATAGTTGTACTGTAAAATCAGTTCTTAATTGCGGAGATATCCTTTTATCTAAATATTATGAAGGGCTTCTCTCAAATGGACCAAATGTTAACGACTTCCAATGGCATGGGACAACTGTTTCAATGATACAAAGTTCTCAGTTTCAGACAGGGTTGCTGTCAACTTTCAGTGCGGAATCCAATTCTTCCAATGGTCGACACAATTCATGCTTAACAGATTGGGAGCTTAGCAACCTCCGCGAGCCGCTTGAGAAGTTATCAGATGTAAGAAACATTTCCAGCATAGAGAAGATCCAAATTCTTGCTATTGTTGATCTTCTTTGTGAAATCAGTAATCCACATTCTACTTCTGTCTATGCAAGCCTTGATGAAGCTGGAAGAAGGTACTTTGAACCTTATTTTTTCTAGGCACCTTTTTCCTCCATTTAATTCTCCTAGGTCTAATTGCTGAATGACCAATAGAACAACGTTTCTTTCAATATATTCTTGTTGGCTACTTCACACTAGTTGTGAAAATATTAATTCAAGGTTCTTATTTTCAAGGGAACATAATTTGTTTTTCCTCATGAATAATACTCTATGCTCATTGGTATGGATTTCTGTTGCCATTTTACTTATAGGTTTTGGGTCGCATTCAGATATAAACAACTATACTTTGCTCGAAGATTTGGTAAAACAGCTTCTATGGAAGAGTTGGGTGTCGACTCTAGTATGATAGGATGGGCTTTCCACTCAGACTGTCAAGAAAGTTTGTTTGGTGCTATTTTACCCAATGAATCATCCTGGCAAGAAATGCGATCATTGGGTGTTGGATTCTGGTATGCAAATGTAGTGCAGTTGCGCCCACTGGTAAGTTTTAAACATTCTAAGCTTGGTCCGTACTAACTACCTAAGAATAAGCCAATGACGCCTTTATCTTACGTTCTTTTTTTTTTCTTTAAATTTCTTTGGTGCCATACACATTGGTATTGTCAATCCACAGTTGGAAAAAGAAACCATGCTTAACGTAATTCACCGCTATCTTCTGACTTTAGATGGAGAAGCTGGCCCGACAACAATATCTTAAGAACAAGAACCCAAAAGATTGTGCATTGCTCTATATAGCTTTGAATAGAATTCAAGTTTTGGCCGGCCTTTTCAAAATAAGCAAGGATGAGAAAGATAAACCTTTGTTGGGTTTTCTTTCACGTAATTTCAAGGTATGGGAAAACCACTTTTTTTTTACAAGTTAGTTTCCTTTCCACTGTCTGTATAGGCCTTTCTTGAATCTAGGACGTGGTATCGAGTGAATTGTCTTTTAATTGGATGCATCTATTATTCCAGGAAGAGAAAAATAAGGCTGCAGCCTTGAAAAATGCATATGTCCTAATGGGAAAACATCAATTGGAGCTGGCTATAGCTTTCTTTCTCCTTGGGAGTGATACTTCATCGGCGGTAAATGTTTGTGTCAAAAATCTTCATGATGAGCAGCTTGCACTTGTACTTTGCCGGCTTGTTGAGGGGCGGGGCGGTCCCCTGGAACACAATTTGATAACGAAATATATACTCCCATCTGCCCTGCAAAGAGGAGACCTTTGGCTGGCGAGCCTTCTTGAGGTGAATAGGTCTTTTTTTTGTTTATTCATGTTTTTTTGGGATAATATAAATTATGGTTATGACACAATCCCTAATTTATGCAGTGGGAATTAGTGCGGTACCGTCAATCATTTCTTGCTATGGTTGGATGTCTAGAGAGCCATGTTACAGGGAGGTATGCTGTATCTTCCAATCATGCATGTTTTATGGATCCTAGTATTGGCATATATTGCCACATGCTAGCGAATAAAAACAGTATGAAGAATTCCATCGGGGAAGGAAATGCTGCAATACTTAGCCGATGGGCAACCTTGATGACTGCTACTGCCTTCAGCAGACGTGGGCTCCCTGTAAGTTTCTATCATATGTTACAAAGCGCAGTATGTTGTGAATGGCTGAAATGATTTGATTGTCTGTGAGGTGTTTTTACATGTTTTGAAATTTGAACTGAAACTCCACAATGGAATTGGTGGACGGATTTTCCCATTGTGTAATCAAGGATAGCTGTTTCTTTTAGCCTTTTCCATTCAACTGTTGTCAAAATTTTTAACTAATTTTCGGGAATCATAAATCCTGCAAGTGGGATTGCCTCTCCTGTTGCCACCTTTTCTTTGAGACTTTTCTTTTATCAGTAGGAAATTCACTTAAAAATTATTTATCTGGTATCTTTCAGCGGGTATAACCAATAGACTTGATTTTTGTTTTATCCTTTCTGAAAATGAGTTTGATAATCAGTGCTGTCAAATCTACTTGCTGATTTGTTGTCTTTTTGCGAGTTGTTAGCTCGAGGCTTTAGAATGTCTTTCAACTTCTGTCAGCAGTCATGGTGGTACAGATCAGACAAGCATACCCAGTAACGGGCAGTTCTTTGCTCCATGTGGTATTCTTGAACCTTCTATTGATAATTCATCTAACTGGGTATCAAGCAGTATTGCATCTACAATGGACACCCATACGAGGTTGGGTCTAGCCATCCAATTCCTCTCCAAGCTGTTACAAGATCATCCTGGTTGGTCTGTCTCTACAGTAGGACCTAGTGGAGAGACTGCTGTCTTTATGAATTCTGATATTGATTGGTACGAGAAAGTCGACAGTTTTCAACATAAACTGCTAACAGCTTTGGAACAATTTTACCAGAGATTTTCCTTGTCTGCCTCTTGCCTAGTCAATATGGTATGCTATTTATACAATGATACTTGCAGACCATTTTTTTTGTTCCTTGACAGGCTAGCTTGACAACGGTGGTACTTCTGGATGCTGATATATTGTCTGCGTCCTTTTCTTTCCTTTTAACAGATGGTCTCATCATTATGCAGCCGTGGTTTACTAAATGTGGGATACAGCTTATTGCAAGGATGTAGTTCTTCTGGTCTCTTGTCAGAAGAGTCCGACACAGTTGACAAAATCTTCCCCTGTACAGTTTTGTGTAAATCGGTGCTGAAAACGGCTGAAGATATATCCTGCTTATTGTCCCATATCATTGCTGCATGCAGTATCACTGGCTTACACTCAGCATCATGTTACGATCTAATCAAGGTGTCTCGTGGAACTAAATCAAAGAGGTCTAATGCTTTGAAATTCTACTTTCATGGTATTCTGCAATTATTGTCGAGTTTGAGAGCTTCTATAAAGTTGTGTTTGGGCTCCTGTGACGGAGATCTTGTAGCAAGACTCACAATTGTTCTTGATTTAGTCGAATATTGCTCAAAAGTGGCAATTGCTTGGGTTCTGGGGGATTTAAAATGTCTCTTTCAAATGTCACAGCCCGTTATGATATCATATTTTCACGGGCAGACACCTTATGAGGTTGATATGGAGAGTCTGAAGAAAGTTTACTGCCAATGTATACCTGTTCGTGATCCGGATAAATCAGACGTGGGAGTGGCTTCCGTGATCAGTGGAATTGTTGAGGATAAACAAGTTGGATATCCTGTGTCCTCAATTCCAGAAGATGAAAGGCTACTTGTGGCGCAAACATGTTTCTGGAAGCATATCTCAAACTTCGTGAAATATAAGCTGGTATCTACCTCAACTGAACTTGATGATGGTGTTGCGAACAGCGGTGCTCGGACTTCATTGGATTCTAGTGGTGATATTGCATCTGTACCTGAAAAGATCATTTTGCTTCTGGGAAAGACGCTGATTACTACCGTCACTTATCTCTCTTCCCACCATGTAAAGCAACTTTCGATTTTCTTGAAGAAGAAGCTGGAGAAGAGAATTCAGGCTCCAACATTGCTATGGTTAAATGGATGTATGGAGTTCCAAACAAGACCTCTCAGCTGGGCCATCCCAGATGCAGATATAGTGAACACCAACAATGACCTTGCAGGGCTTTCTCTGATGTTTTGGAATCTGTGTGTGGATCCGTGCTTGGTACAGGAAGCTTTCTTGCTAGAAAATTTGGACTTCTCAGACTGGTTAAAATTTAAACCTTCGAGAGAGTGGAGAGATATTTACAAAGAGATAGTGGGGAAGAATGAGCATAGTGAGCCACACAATCAAGAGCGCCAGCGTAGTATTGGGGATAATTCACTCGCAACCTATGCTCCTCCAAATGGCTCAAATAGAGATACAGTAACCACCAAGGAAAATTCTGCTTTCCAGAATCCTGAAGAAATTTTTAAGAGGAGTGGGGAGCTGATAGAGGTAATTGTTCGTTTTGCTTTTTTCAAACAAATTTTTTATATCATTGCTGGTGATGTTATTGTAATGGAGACAAAAGGATATCCAGAACTTTTTTTCCACCTCTGTTGGTTGAGTTTAGTTTTCTTTCCATCAGGCCCTTTGTTTAAACCCCATCAATCATCAGCAAGCTGCAATCGCAAGCAACCGCAAGGTTAGTCCTGCTCACAGTCTGCCTTACCATTTCTTCATGTCTTCATTCTAAAATAAATCTGATAAGTTGAAACTTCTAATGCTTGGAAGACGTGAACCAATCCTTGAAAAGATCGTCATGGGCCTATGTTTGATATCTGTAGTTACAGCTATGGATCTATAACTATTAACTATGAGGTAGTTGCGAGTTCCAATCGTGGCGAACCTCTGATGGCTTTTGTAGTACAATAGTGGTTTTCTTTTTCCTACATCAGCTGTTTGAGACAACAGGTTCAAGTTTTAGTGGTGGCTGTTCTATATTATATGCAGTGACTATCATTTCGACCCATGAGTTGGAACCCCAGCAAACTTCTAACGATTTCTACCCCAAAATATTTCTTTATCCTTCATCTGCATTTTGGGACAAAATTATCTTGTGCTATTGCATGTCTTGCATGGTGAACTAAGTTCAACACCCATCGGTTGGTACCGTGTCATTAGCCTTGCTTTATTAGGCACAATAACAATGTGGCATCAGAAATAAGCATGTGAGAGATTTTGGATTCTGTTAAATGCAGGGTATAATCTTCTTTAACCGAGAGGATGGAGGTTCCCACGATGATCCGCCAAACTATATATGGTCTGATGCGGATTGGCCACACAATGGTTGGGCTAACTCTGAATCAACTCCCGTCCCAACATTTGTTTCACTGGGTGTTGGTCTTGGGAGTAAGAGAGGAGCACACCTTGGGTTGGGTGGGGCAACTGTTGGCATAGTTTCTCTTTCAAAGCCTGGGAAAGCCTTGGGTAGTGGTGGAGCTCAAAGGGTTCAAGGTTATACTGGTTCTGCGGCCCTTGGCTTAGGTTGGGAAACTCAAGAAGATTTTGAGCAGTTTGTTGATCCTCCCCCAACAGTTGAAACCGTAAGTACAAGAGCATTCTCCAGTCACCCAACAATGCCTCTCTTCTTGGTTGGATCTAACAACACACACATTTATCTGTGGGAGGTAAGGGCATATCACTTGAATCATCTGTTTGCGTACCTCTGTTTTCGTCGAACCATTATGAGCCATCATTGACTTTTTGCTCACTACTGATGGGTTTTTGTGTTCATCTTAGGGATAAGTAATAAGCTATCGCATCTGTTGTCTTTTCAGTATATTCTTTGCCGACTTGTACATAGTTACTCAGTGTGCTATGAACGGTAACTAGGCAGTGCCATGTTTGGAATCAGTGACCCTAAGCTGAAATTTCTCTTTGTAAGTGAAGCTAAAGTGTATTTGGGCTGTAATGATTGTGTAGACCAGAGACGCTTTGGTGGGGAGCTTAAATATTATATTAAGCATTTTCAGAACGGTGTCTGAGTATTTCTTTGTAGAGCTTATGCAAACATGATGTCTGCAGTTTGGAAAAAACAGAGCTACCGCAACTTACGGCGTGCTGCCTGCTGCGAATGTTCCTCCTCCATATGCTCTGGCGTCAATATCAGCTGTGCAATTCGGCCCCTGTGGACATAGATTTGCAAGTGCAGCACTGGATGGAACAGTCTGCACGTGGCAATTAGAAGTTGGAGGAAGAAGTAACGTCCACCCTGTAGAATCATCTCTTTGCTTCACTGGCCATGCCTCGTATGTTCCATAATTCTTTTGTGATTCTGTGTTCCTCATCTCTTGCACAAGCCATGATCCTAGATTAGCATGAAAGTTAAGTAGCAATTATCAAATTTACTGTTTGTTATACCATCAATATCACTGACTTATGCTTGATTGGCTTTTGTTATGTTTTGTAGGGATGTCAAGTATATTAGCTCCAGTGGTTCTATCGTTGCAGCCTCGGGATATAGCCCAAATGGTGTTAACGTGGTTGTATGGGATACACTAGCTCCACCTACAACTTCCCAGGCATCCATCATTTGTCACGAAGGTCTCTTTCGGATACAATTTGAAACTTCAGTTCTTGAACTTAAATCATGTGATTCATGTCTTTCCTCATACACAAGATTGCCATAATTTGGACTTAAAAAAGCGTTCTTGATCTGTCATCTCAAATGATTTGGCATTTTGCATAATATGTTCTTTGTTACCATTCCTTTAAATCTGACAACTATCTTCCCCTTTTCCTTTTCATGAAAAAGGTGGCGCACGCTCTATCTCTGTGTTTGATAATGACATTGGCAGTGGTTCCATTTCCCCAATGATTGTGACTGGGGGCAAAAATGGCGATCTCGGATTGCACGATTTCCGGTATATTGCCACTGGAAAGACTAAAAGGCACAGAAATTTGGACAGTCGAGAAGCGCATACCGGGAAATCTTCTATTGACAGTAGTGATCCAAATCCGCACGGGATGCTTTGGTACATACCAAAGGCTCACTTAGGTGCAAACCCTTCTCTTCTTTCATGATCATTTAATTACTCTTTTTTTTTCTTCTGAAAAGGAAGTTCTCTCTAAAAAGTCAATTTATTTTCAAATGCTCTGCAATTTCAGGAAGCGTGACCAAAATATGTACCATCCCAAGCACAAGTTTGTTCCTAACGGGAAGCAAAGATGGCGATGTTAAACTATGGGATGCCAAAGCGGCAAAAATGCTTCATCATTGGCCCAAGCTTCATGACAGGCACACTTTCCTGCAACCAAGCACTAGAGGCTATGGCGGAATCATCCGGGTTAGTCCCCAGCCGCCATTTCCACTTTTAACCGTAAACCCTAACTTTTGCATCTCATCTCATCTATAACAACTGAAGAAGAAATCGGCTTATCATTATTGTTATGTGTTTCCTGTTCTTCAAATGGATGCAGGCTGGTGTCACCGACATACAAATTTGCCCTGATGGCTTTCTTACTTGCGGCGGTGATGGCACTGTAAAGTTTGTCGGCCTCCAATATTACCATGATGAAGGATGAAAGGGGTATGGCATACATAGAAAGCACAGTTCTTAACCGTGTAGTTGTCCGAGAAAATCAGCCATTTTTTGCACAGCCAAGAAAATGCCAGAGAAAGTGAGTTTTTGTCATGTAACGCGGTGATATTATATATTCCTTCTTTCTTTGTGTGTATAATGTGATTATATATACAGAAACAAACGGAACAGACAAAAATATATCGAGACTGAATGTGTGAATTGAGCATGATCTGATATTTTAGTTTTCTAAATTATTAATTTTTATTGTGAGAGGAACTTGTTATGGCCTGTCTATATGCAAGTTGTTTAGAATGGATTTATTTAGTAGATAATATATATTACCCAATGCCCGTAAAGATTAAAAATCTCTCCAAAGGGATTTCATGAAGAATCTTTATCTGAGTGCTATTGTATTTGTTAGTTGATTATATATTCCGGTCAACCATGGTTTGAAGAAATTATGCGGTGATGCCAAAATACGCGTGTATTATTAATGACCCGTTGATTAAATCATTGGAGTATTTGGTTGTAAATACATCATCATCATCTTCAACAGCACATATTATATACATTTTTATTTATTTTGTTCCTAATCAAAACCCGATTAGCTACCGACTTAATCCAATCTCTAATAAGTACAGTAAAGGTGAATTAGAGAATAGTGGAGTGTGACCAGAAACATAATGTACTTAAAAGCAAACCTACCTAATATTCAAATTTTATTCTAAAAAATAAATATCTTCAACAACCGCTATAAATAAAAATGGTTTGTTTTAATTACTCAAAATATTGATTAGCGAAACTAAAAATATAATTTAGGTGATAACAGATGTCATAACTAAAAAGGAGCGCGTAGCGCGTGTACTCAACTTGCCGTACTTCTCCTCTAATGAAGATAAAAGAGGTCTTATCCGCACAAAAAAAAAACAAAACAAAAAGAAAGAGCGCCCCACTTTGAGGGCTGTTGATGCTCCCATTTCATGCCACGTGTCCTTCAATCGAATCGAACGGCGACCAGGTGAATCCTACGGGCTAATCTATGGAACTCAGAAGCACAAGTTACGCTCAGTTTGCGTGTAAAAGGACAGATCAAGAAACCGATAACCGAAGACTCCAATTCAGAAGCTTAATCCAAACCAGAAAAGAAAAAAAATCTCTGACACGATCTCGTAACTCCCCTCTTTCTTTCTCCACGATTCTTAACAGGTGTTCTTCGTGTCCTGTAGTTCTTCTGCTATCTGCTTTATTGATCTCAATCCGTGGGATTTCTTTAGTTATGGGCTTGATCCCTTGTTGATTTTGGAGTTGATCTCTCTTCTCTCTGGTAAGTTCTTCAAACACTGTTGCCTTCTTCTGTTCGGCTATGGTTGTTGTTCTGAAAATTTTCGTCTTATCTCTTTGTGTTCTCGTTTGATGGCTTATGTCTGTCACATGGTGCCGACATTTATCATCCGCTGTTTCCGTGTCTGGTTCTATTCTGGGTTTCATCGGGTCTGCGTTCCCCCCCCCCCCCCGCT